CACAGTCCCTTCCATCTGAAGGGACATAATATACAAATGTTATCAAACTTAGCCATCTGCATGGCAAATTAGGAAAGGGAAGAAAATAGGTGAAAAATCTTGTTCTTTGCATGGTATAACAGAGGGTTGAAAAGGCAATTGAAGGCAGCCCTTTGTTTATCAAACTTCAAAAATTAAAAGTGGGAAGAAATCCCACCACAGAAGAGACCTTCCACATTTAAGGCAGTCAGACAACAAGCCCTCGTATAAACCACTATGTTTTTAAACCTTCATGCAGAGACAAGGTCTACTCAACCAAGCTTTCAAAGGTGAGTGGGGTCTCAATAAATGTTAAGTCCATCCTGAGGGCCAAATCTGCCTTAGTTGTTTGCTGGGGTTTTTTACCTTTAGACTTCTATCATGCTTGCTCAAGTTCAAAGTTAGTTTACATTATGATGCTTCATTATGAACTATTTTATTCTCAGAGAAGAATGTCCCTGAACATTTCAGTCTTCAACATCTATAAAGGCTGAGTTATATTTCTTACCTTGGGGACCAAAAATCCACTGATGTATTGCACAATGAATTGAGACTAGTCAAGGTCTTCTGTCAAATTCATCTTTCTGGACTGAGACACAGATTTCCTGGCTCTCTTCATTTAAATAAGCTTCTTTCTACCAGACACAAAGTACAGCATCTGATCCACATAATCTTATTGCTTCTGAGAAACACACTGGTTACAAAACATGTTATTTGGCTTTGATGTGTTCTTCTATCAGGTTCAGCTGTTTCTTCCATCATCAAGTATTAGGCTAAAGGAGCAGTGTGGATTAAAGCTTGTATTGTCAGTTCATCAGTCAGCAACATGCTGGTACCTCAGAAGCACTTGAAAGCTTGTAACAAGCAAAACAGGAATCAGTACAGGAGAATACCAAGAACCTGAATTCAGCTTGATGAACCAGAGTTCATAAACCAAAGCAGAATATTACTTTAGGCTTGTTCAAAAACATAGATTCTTCACTGAACTGGCTTTTGGTGTGGGAAGGCTTTACAAAAAGAAACAGAAGATAGCAAGGGATAGAATGTAATATGAAGAAAACCTCTATTGATCTGGCATGCAGCTCAGCTAGACAATTGTGGGGAACAGTGGCTTACAAAACATGATCAGTACATTTTCTCTCATCTTTTCTCTGTTTCACCAGGCTGGTTCCTCCCCTACCCACCTTGATTCCTCCATTTCCTGCCTTTGGCCCTTTCTCTAAATACTCCAAGTTTCCCACAAGTCCCACAATAATTACCACAAGCCAACTTTAACTTCCCATGATGTTTTCACTCTGATAAGCCATTTGATAATTTTGTTTCCACCCTTCTTCTCAGCTAAAAATATTTGGCTGAACTTCTTCATGGCTTTGTGGGCATCCTCCAGTGGTCCTCCACTAAGGGGACAGGGAGTTCCAATATTTGTCACCGTGCTTCTCATTGCCTGTTTGTTAGCTTTTGTACTTAGACCTGGTTGATTACTGCTGTTGTCTCTTGCCTTTATCTGCGAGGCTGAAGAGCCCTTAACAATCGGTCTCAAAACTCAGGTATCCTCACATTATGGATTTCTTAATATTCTTAACATTCAAAATGTCGTAATATATACAGCTCAGAAACAGTATCTGTTTCCCAGCTTCTAAGACTACAGGATCTCCTGTGTTACCAAAATACTAGGCCTAAACATACAAAGGTCAGAGCAAATTCCAAACTAGAAAAATGTACAACTCCTCATTCTGGACAACGTAGCCCAGAATCTGTGAAGCTTGCATTTAACAAGACACCATTTTTAATTTTTTCATGTTTTTAATAAGCATTGAGAGGTGAACAGTTTTGTCAAGCCATGGCATCATTAACATTCCTATCACAGCCTGGAACTGCAGTCTTCCTTTTGTACTATAAATGCTGAAAGAAGAAATCAGCAAGGTGTAACACCAGCACTGCTTCATTCATCACACAGAAGGTTTATGGGTTTAAGAGTGTATTCCATTTCAACAAAGCATTACCTGTTTTAAAGGTACAAGACACAGCACAGAACAAAGACTTAATATGTATCCTTCTGACAGCATGAGTCTTAAGTCATTCTCAAGCCTCATACTGAGATGTTGGAAAAAAAACCAACAAGTTTTATGTGCTTTAAGTCAGCTCCTGAGAGCCAGATTGCACCAATATGTAACATAAAGACCTATTTCCTATTTAAAGGGATCTGTTTCATCCTGTAACAATTAAATTGCTTTTAACAAGCCTGTACATGTATACTGCACCCTTTCAGAAGCTTCATAGTGTGAGAACACCCAGTTCTGAAAAGGCTGCCCTACTGGCTGCCTTTCAGAAGACATTGTGCTCAGGGAGTCAGTGAGGGACACGCCACGTCTGCTCATAGGGCCTGAGAAACTCATGTGTTATTAAGGTAACCTGTAATCCATAAAATATTTGGGAAAGGTGAGCTGCAGGTGGACCAAGGGGTGGAAAGCACTGATCCTGAGCAGGAGCTTTTTGTACACCCAGGAGTCAGTGCTGCTCATGGCCGGTGCCATGCTGCATGCATGTGAGGCCTGTGCTGTGCCACAAATATCCCTCAGCTGCAGGGGGGCTCAGGCAGCTCTCACTCCTACACCATCATCACAGCCTTGCCTTTAACAACGCAACAACAAGTTGTTGTGAGAGCAGCCTCTTTCTTGTAAGAAAATTATAACCCAAAGGACTCAAAATGAGGCATTTCCTTCCAGGGACAGCGTCTGTACAACACACTGTAGGAAAATCCAACAGGGCTCCATGCAGTGCTGGATGGAGCAGGGAGGGATGTCAGGTGCCTGGCATCTGAAGAAACATCAAGATTTATTTGCTCTCTATCTGCCTCTTCTCTCTCATTAAAACAGTTGTTTTATCAAGCCATTTGTTGCAGGCCTTCTTTACTGAGTTCCAGAAAGCACCCCTGCCTTCGGTGTAGAGCATTTTCTGTAACCCTGAGAGAGCTTCATTCAAAATGTTGCATTCATTCAAAATGTTGCTTCATTCAAAGCGTTGCACTACACTAAGCTAGTCTGCAATAAGGCTTTTTTACAAGGCTTAAACATTAGAAGGGAAAACTGTGGAGAATTTTGGGGTAAAACCCCACACATTTATAGAAGCACACACAGCCCAGGACAGCCTGTGGAGAGGTGCCCGGTGCCTCGAGGGTTCTCTAGAGCAGGTCAGTGGAAAAAGGGAGAGCTGAACCTTGGAGCCAGCATGGAACCTGGAGTGTGGGTCCTGCTGTCCCACAGTGGTTCTACAGCCACAGATCCCATGGGACAATTTCCCCCATTCTGCCCTCCATTTGAGGTCTCCTTTGGCAAGATGTTTCTAGGCAGCATTCAGGCCCCAGCCTGTGCCTGATCCTACTGCAGTGGGGCTGTTGTCTTTCTAAGGAAGGGTTCCTTAAGATGGCAACTTTCCTTGCTTTTCCTGCGGTCTGCTGTTTCCTGTAACTCCCAGGCCATCAGGCCAAGGCCCTGCTGGAAGTTTTGTCCTCCCAGACAGAGCAGCCTGGGGAGCAGCTGACTTCACTCAGCCCAGCCAAGCACAGCCAGCCTCAGCTGTTTCCTGCTGTTTCCTGCCCCGGGCATTCTTCAGCTCTGGGCTGATTCCCTCCAGCTGTGGCCAGCTTTCATTCATCATGCCTAAGCCATACTGGAGCTAGAAAATGTATCTCAGTCTATACGGTGAAAAACTCTGTGGAAGGGGGAAAGAACTCCATTGGCAGAGCCATCTGCTTCAAACAGAAAACCTCCCACTACAGCACCATGAGAGGGCATGAACTTGGGAACAGCTTTCATTACCCAAAACATGAGTAACTTGGAAACCTCCACCTTCATTCCTTTCTTCTGGCACAAGCTTTTTAAAAATTAACATATTCAAGAACAAGCGAAAAATAAGGACAAGAGACCTTATATATAGCAAGGTGTCATCAGAAATGTCTGTTGGAATATGGAAACTATAGAACAAACAGGGTTTTAATTTACCTGCATGTAGCAAAGCACTTGTTTCAGGTTCTCTTCACAGTGTTTGTTATTTAGAAGAAAAAAAGGAAAAAAAACAACTCCCCAAAACCCAACATTCCAATCATGCAAGTTTTCCCATCATGTCTCTGTAATTGCAATGTTATTAAAGCCTTGTGTCTCCTGTGTGTACTGAGGCTACTTTCTCCCTGTCATTCTCCTACAGTCATATGAGTGAGAGGCTCCTGTAGATGGGCACTGAGTAAATTATATCAAGCTCCTCTAGTATCCAGCTTTATGAGCAAATGCAATTACTGTTCTAGAAAAAAACTGCAGAGTGCCTTCTCCAAATGTTTCTCACTTCAGTAATGTATTATTCTGCTTCCAAGAACTGCATGGATAATGGCAGACTGTGTTTGATCAAATGATTTAAAGGAATAGCAGGAGGCATGCAGTAAGGACAACCCAAGTACATAACAGAATGACTTGGCTGCATCTTCTTCCTACTTGTCTTGTAATAAGAATCCCTGGGCTTCAACTAGTCACTAAAGTACAACACTTTTTCATAATTTAAATCAAAGTCTAGAGGAAATAAAATATTAATATATTTTTTCATTCAAAACTCCCCAAGGCTCAGACAGGGTTTCTCCTGGAACTCTGAAAAGACCATAAGGAGACATAATTTGGTCTGATTTTATTATATCAATATTTCAGGAATAAAAATGCAGGCACAAAAGCTCAATACAGGGATTAGTTTTATTTTGCAGGAACTCAAGTACAAATTCAGCTTTGCTTTTGTCAGATACAGTGTGAAAAATCAGAGAGACAGATACAAGCTGAAGCAGACACATTACACATTTCTTCTGTGGATTGTTTCTTGTGGAACAGGTGCTGATGTCTTTCTTTTCCTCCCAGATCCAAAGTCAAGCCAAGCCAGGCTTCCAGATTTGTAATACATGCATGTTGAAGATCATTATTAGTGAGTCTTTTGACAATGTATCAGCTTACAAAAAAGTTGGCAGCCTTAACTAAAAGCTAAGCTGATCATTGCCCACTAAGAAGAAAATAGCACATTTCTCAACCTTTTCTGTTTTGTTACATACATAAAACACGTACTACTGTTTCCTTCCTAACATAGCATCATAGAGTTTTCCAGTCCTCTTTACTTGAATCACTCCAAAGCCAGCTGCCTCCAGGAGCTTGCTGTACTCTGCTGCTGTTCGCTCTTTCCCTTCTGTCTGGACCAACATATTCATTGAATATAGCTGGGTTTCTACAGGCCCACTTTTATCTTCATTCAGAAGGGATTCAACCAGCAGTACTCCACCACCTGACAGAGAGAAGAGAAAGAAAACACACCCTGAGCAGTGAAAAGCTGAGCTATTTTTGAGCTTTTACTAGGACAGATCCGAAACTTACTTTCAGGAAGAAGCAGTCTCTACATTAAGTCACATTTTAGCATCACAGAAGACAATGAAAGAACCAAAGCACCAGAGGATGTCTTTGCTGTGTTGGTATTGACATCCCAGAGCTGAAGGGGGTGCTATGGCTGGGACAGAAATTTCCCATTTTCCCCATCTGAAATTTACAGGAACTTAGTGATTTTGCTTTGTAGGCAGTGCTTTTGAAACTCTGAGGCTTCATTGTGACGCTTAATGGGATTTTTTGCTGTCATGTATACACCCATATAAACAATACCCAAAATTCTCAATCCTTACACTTGAGTCCTTGAAAGAGGAACCCCTGCAGAAGAGACAAAAACTGGAAGCCAGACAAAGAGATCCTAGACCGGGTGCTGTTTGTCTTAGCTGCACGTGGCTGTCTTAGGGAAAGCAAATGACTAAGCCCAGGAACTCCTGCACTGAAACTCTGTCATCCAAACTGAGCATCAAGACTGGTGTGCTTCTGCTTGCTGATAGGTAAGAGTCTCTCTGCTCTTCAAGAGGTCACACCTACCAGGTTTGCAAGCTTTGTAGACTTTTGCCAGCAGTTGTTTGCATTTGTCATCATCCCAATCATGCAGTATCTTGGATAAAATATAGAGTTCAGCTTCAGGTATTGAATCATTAAAGAAGTCTCCTGTAAAGCAAGAATACATGCATTATACAAATCCCCATAACACTGAGAGCTGAGTTACACAAATATTTTCAGTTCTGCTTAATTCCAGACTTGCAATGTCCTTCAGACATATCAGACAGCAATGGAGGTACCAGGTGAAAGTCCTCTGTTGCACTGCATAGCGAATTTTGCTCTTGATCAGTCTCAAGAAGATCTGAAACATTTAAAGGCAATAACTCATCCTGAAATAGACTGATGCATAGGAAAGCATTTCAGTTTTGGTTTTCTCCAATGAAAGAAATTCAAATTCATACTGCACTAAGGACATAAGTTCACACAGTTCCTGTCATGAGAAAGAAGGAAAGAATCTTGCCTTCTCTAAGAAAGTTTTCAAAGATCTTTGGTAATCACAGAATTGCTTCATAAATCTGTAGATAAAAATACACATCTCTCACCTCCTAGCCCTAGCTTTGTTATTCCTTTTGTTTAGCACCTGCTGTACTGCATTCAGATTTTTTTCTCAGCATTTTACTTTGTCATTTCTTCTCCCATTTTGTTGCATCTTTGTTTTTTTACACTCCCTTCCCTCCTCAAGGCTCCTTTTCTCTCTCTCATCTTTGAGCAATTTTAAGCACTTCCAGCACTTTGAAGACTTTTGTAAACATTAAAAATGAGATCTCCCTATAGTAATTTTTCACATACATACATACATAGTACAAAGACTATGCAGGATCAGTGGTCTGGGCAAGAGGCATAGGAGCTAGCTCATCTACTTTCATGCTCTAAAATATCTTAGGACTTGAAGATCAATCAGTTTTGACTAGAGAAGGAAAAACCCTTGTTCAGAGCAGACCTGGCATCCCTCACATCTGCCAGGAGGTTTGCATAGGAGAAAAGGGGAGTGTTAGGAAAATTTAAAACAAAGCATAGCAGATTTCAAAATTGCACGATGCTGGGTTTTTTGCTAATGTACCCTTGCTCTTAAGAAATGAAATAGTTCTCTTCAGGAATTAATGTTGCTGAATAACTGAGTTGTGTCTCTGACAGCTGCTGGTGGACAGCTGGGACAGCTGCAGAGCTGGGCTGGGGAGGCTGCAGCCTGAGACACTGTCCCAATAAGGGGCAGCTGGGGACCTGAGCCTCCAGGATGACACCTCTGAGCTGAGCCAGGGCTCTGGAGCAACAGCTGGGACAACACCACTACTGCCCACACCTACCTTCGTGGAAAGTGATCTGACGCTCCTCAGGGGAAACAAACTGTTCTTTGGCCACCTGCACAACTTTGGGCAGGTCATAAATTGTGACGGTAGAATTTGGATATAAAGAAACACACTCTTGGGCCAAAGCTCCTCCACCTCCTTTGGGGACAGTAAAAGAAGGTCAGTAGTGACACAAACCCAACCTGTTCAGTGACACCCCCATGAAAGTAAACACGCAACGGTGCATTCAGCCTCATGGAAGCTGGCAAAGTACATTTGCACCTCTTGAAACACCCCTTCCTATGTGTTGCTGGGAGGGAAGAAGAGGGACAGGAGAAGTCACCATGTGTTCTGCAGGGAGATCTGAGGCCTGCAGCACCCAGACATGTAGGGTCAGCCCCTGCCATTACCAGTCTTACACTCCCTCCTAGCCAGACCAGCTGCAGGTGCTGGAAGGTGAAAAATGAAAAACAGTCACTAAACCACGCTCTGGGGAAGAAGTGAGGGAGGCCAGGAGGGAGCCCGCCTCGTCCTGTGAATCCTGGCAGCACTCAGCCGTGCTGGGACAGCAGGGTGCTGCAGGATAAGAGGCTGCAGGCACTACCTCAACAACAGTGACTGAAGGGGAAGAAGGAAAGAATCTAGCATTGGAAGAATGCATCAAGCAAGGCATGAAAAATGCTAAAGCTGCCACAATCACAAGGGGATGAGTAACTGCTTACACAAATCAGATGGTAGAGAAAAACATTCAGCTTCCTATCACTCTCACATTTCTGTTTTTAATCCAACCAAATCAGTAAAATTCTCCTTATATTGCTATGTCCTACTTTCCATTGTTTGTCCATCATTTAACATAGGAGTTGTTTTCCCCTGCAGAGCTTATAAAAGACAGTTCAGAGGCTTGTTAAAGAAGATCTTCTGACACTCACCTCCCAGGTCATAGATCTGCGTGAAAGGGGAAAGGTCAAATGCAGCAAGAACATCTCTGCCACATATACTCCATACTGAGTTCTGGCCAGCCATGAATTTTAACATTTCTTCATCTGATCTAGCAATGCAAACAGAGACAGCACAGAGAGAGGGTTCCTTACCACATCCTCAGAGATTCCTATAATATAACTGCTGCTACAGATTTTAGCTTAAAAAAAAAATCTCTGGTTTTATTGACACAGAATATGTCCTCTTTGCATATAAACATACCTTGAATATTACTGTATCAGGAGTGTACAGCTATGAAATCATGCATTTAAATAGGGAATTAAGACTAGTGAAATCTAATAGTGTATTATGCTGTTCATTCTCAGAATTTCCAAGGGACTTTTTTTCCCTTCAACTACCATTGCCTCTGTCAGAGATCTGTGACATTTTTCAGATTAGGAAAATATATACTTCTATTCAAAATATCAGACAGTGTCCCAGTAATTGATATTGTTGGGGAATAAAAATATTGCATGATGCTGATGACAGCAATTCTCACATCATCATATTTAATTGTCCTCAGCCATAATTAAACACATTAGTTTTATCCACAACAAGAAGAAAAAAATTTCTATAAATATTCTAATGATTACCTGTACATTGCTCCAAAAGGGTCTTTAGATGAAACACCAAAAGCTCTTTCATATTGGTTTCTTCCTTCTCTAAAATAGCAATTGAAAAAGCCTATGAGAGTGCTGATATATTTCTCAACCTCTCACAAGAATGACTGGTTCTTTTCAAGGTCAGGGTGGGATGGCACTTTGAGCAATCTGATCTACTGAGTGGCATCCATGTTAGGAAGGTTGGAACTAGATGATCTTCAGAGTCTCTTCCAAACTGCAGAGTGCCTTCTCCAAATGTTTCTCACTTCAGTAATGTATTATTCTGCTTACAAGAACTGCATGGGTAATGGCAGACTGTGTTTGATCAAATGATTTAAAGGAATAGCAGGAGGCATGCAGTAAGGACAACCCAAGTACATAACAGAATGACTTGGCTGCATCTTCTTCCTACTTGTCTTGTAATAAGAATCCCTGGGCTTCAACTAGTCACTAAAGTACAACACTTTTTCATAATTTAAATCAAAGTCTAGAGGAAATAAAATATTAATATATTTTTTCATTCAAAACTCCCCAAGGCTCAGACAGGGTTTCTCCTGGAACTCTGAAAAGACCATAAGGAGACATAATTTGGTCTGATTTTATTATATCAATATTTCAGGAATAAAAATGCAGGCACAAAAGCTCAATACAGGGATTAGTTTTATTTTGCAGGAACTCAAGTACAAATTCAGCTTTGCTTTTGTCAGATACAGTGTGAAAAATCAGAAAGACAGATACAAGCTGAAGCAGACACATTACACATTTCTTCTGTGGATTGTTTCTTGTGGAACAGGTGCTGATTTCTTTCTTTTCCTCCCAGATCCAAAGTCAAGCCAAGCCAGGCTTCTACATTTGTAATACATGCATGTTGAAGATCTGTTATTAGTGAGTCTTTTGACAATGTATCAGCTTACAAAAAAGTTGGCAGCCTTAACTAAAAGCTAAGCTGATCATTGCCCACTAAGAAGAAAATAGCACATTTCTCAACCTTTTCTGTTTTGTTACATACATAAAACACGTACTACTGTTTCCTTCCTAACATAGCATCATAGAGTTTTCCAGTCCTCTTTACTTGAATCACTCCAAAGCCAGCTGCCTCCAGGAGCTTGCTGTACTCTGCTGCTGTTCGCTCTTTCCCTTCTGTCTGGACCAACATATTCATTGAATATAGCTGGGTTTCTACAGGCCCACTTTTATCTTCATTCAGAAGGGATTCAACCAGCAGTACTCCACCACCTGATGGAGAGAAAAGAAAGAAAACACACCCTGAGCAGTGAAAAGCTGAGCTATTTTTGAGCTTTTACTAGGACAGATCCGAAACTTACTTTCAGGAAGAAGCAGTCTCTACATTAAGTCACATTTTAGCATCATAGAAGACAATGAAAGAGCCAAAGCACCAGAGGATGTCTTTGCTGTGTTGGTATTGACATCCCAGAGCTGAAGGGGGTGCTATGGCTGGGACAGAAATTTCCCATTTTCCCCAGCTGAAATTTGCAGGAACTTACTGATTTTGCTTTGTAGGCAGTGCTTTTGAAACTCTGAGGCTTCATTGTGACGCTTAATGGGATTTTTTGCTGTCATGTATACACCCATATAAACAATACCCAAAATTCTCAATCCTTACACTTGAGTCCTTGAAAGAGGAACCCCTGCAGAAGAGACAAAAACTGGAAGCCAGACAAAGAGATCCTAGACCGGGTGCTGTTTGTCTTAGCTGCACGTGGCTGTCTTAGGGAAAGCAAATGACTAAGCCCAGGAACCCTGCACTGAAACTCTGTCATCCAAACTGAGCATCAAGACTGGTGTGCTTCTGCTTGCTGATAGGTAAGAGTCTCTCTGCTCTTCAAGAGGTCACACCTACCAGGTTTGCAAGCTTTGTAGACTTTTGCCAGCAGTTGTTTGCATTTGTCATCATCCCAATCATGCAGTATCTTGGATAAAATATAGAGTTCAGCTTCAGGTATTGCATCATTAAAGAAGTCTCCTGTAAAGCAAGAATACATGCATTATACAAATCCCCATAACACTGAGAGCTGAGTTACGCAAATATTTTCAGTTCTGTTTAATTCCAGACTTGCAATGTCCTTCAGACATATCAGACAGCAATGGAGGTACCAGGTGAAAGTCCTCTGTTGCACTGCATAGCGAATTTTGCTCTTGATCAGTCTCAAGAAGATCTGAAACATTTAAAGGCAATAACTCATCCTGAAATAGACTGATGCATAGGAAAGCATTTCAGTTTTGGTTTTCTCCAATGAAAGAAATTCAAATTCATACTGCACTAAGGACATAGGTTCACACAGTTCCTGTCATGAGAAAGAAGGAAAGAATCTTGCCTTCTCTAAGAAAGTTTTGAAAGATCTTTGGTAATCACGGAATTGCTTCATAAATCTGTAGATAAAAATACACATCTCTCACCTCCTAGCCCTAGCTTTGTTATTCCTTTTGTTTAGCACCTGCTGTACTGCATTCAGATTTTTTTCTCAGCATTTTACTTTGTCATTTCTTCTCCCATTTTGTTGCATCTTTGTACACTCCCTTCCCTCCTCAAGGCTCCTTTTCTCTCTCTCATCTTTGAGCAATTTTAAGCACTTCCAGCACTTTGAAGACTTTTGTAAACATTAAAAATGAGATCTCCCTATAGTAATTTTTCACATACATAGTACAAAGACTATGCAGGATCAGTGGTCTGGGCAAGAGGAATAGGAGCTAGCTCACCTACTTTCATGCTCTAAAATATCTTAGGACTTGAAGATCAATCAGTTTTGACTAGAGAAGGAAAAACCCTTGTTCAGAGCAGACCTGGCATCCCTCACATCTGCCAGGAGGTTTGCATAGGAGAAAAGGGGAGTGTTAGGAAAATTTAAAACAAAGCATAGCAGATTTCAAAATTGCACGATGCTGGGTTTTTTGCTAATGTACCCTTGCTCTTAAGAAATGAAATAGTTCTCTTCAGGAATTAATGTTGCTGAATAACTGAGTTGTGTCTCTGACAGCTGCTGGTGGACAGCTGGGACAGCTGCAGAGCTGGGCTGGGGAGGCTGCAGCCTGAGACACTGTCCCAATAAGGGGCAGCTGGGGACCTGAGCCTCTAGGATGACACCTCTGAGCTGAGCCAGGGCTCTGGAGCAACAGCTGGGACAACACCACTACTGCCCACACCTACCTTCATGGAAAGTGATCTGACGCTCCTCAGGGGAAACAAACTGTTCTTTGGCCACCTGCACAACTTTGGGCAGGTCATAAATTGTGACGGTAGAATTTGGATATAAAGAAACACACTCTTGGGCCAAAGCTCCTCCACCTCCTTTGGGGACAGTAAAAGAAGGTCAGTAGTGACACAAACCCAACCTGTTCAGTGACACCCCCATGAAAGTAAACACGCAACGGTGCATTCAGCCTCATGGAAGCTGGCAATGTACATTTGCACCTCTTGAAACACCCCTTCCTATGTGTTGCTGGGAGGGAAGAAGAGGGACAGGAGAAGTCACCATGTGTTCTGCAGGGAGATCTGAGGCCTGCAGCACCCAGACATGTAGGGTCAGCCCCTGCCATTACCAGTCTTACACTCCCTCCTAGCCAGACCAGCTGCAGGTGCTGGAAGGTGAAAAATGAAAAACAGTCACTAAACCACGCTCTGGGGAAGAAGTGAGGGAGGCCAGGAGGGAGCCCGCCTCGTCCTGTGAATCCTGGCAGCACTCAGCCGTGCTGGGACAGCAGGGTGCTGCAGGATAAGAGGCTGCAGGCACTACCTCAACAACAGTGACTGAAGGGGAAGAAGGAAAGAATCTAGCATTGGAAGAATGCATCAAGCAAGGCATGAAAAATGCTAAAGCTGCCACAATCACAAGGGGATGAGTAACTGCTTACACAAATCAGATGGTAGAGAAAAACATTCAGCTTCCTATCACTCTCACATTTCTGTTTTTAATCCAACCAAATCAGTAAAATTCTCCTTATATTGCTATGTCCTACTTTCCATTGTTTGTCCATCATTTAACATAGGAGTTGTTTTCCCCTGCAGAGCTTATAAAAGACAGTTCAGAGGCTTGTTAAAGAAGATCTTCTGACACTCACCTCCCAGGTCATAGATCTGCGTGAAAGGGGAAAGGTCAAATGCAGCAAGAACATCTCTGCCACATATACTCCATACTGAGTTCTGGCCAGCCATGAATTTTAACATTTCTTCATCTGATCTAGCAATGCAAACAGAGACAGCACAGAGAGAGGGTTCCTTACCACATCCTCAGAGATTCCTATAATATAACTGCTGCTACAGATTTTAGCTTAAAAAAAAAATCTCTGGTTTTATTGACACAGAATATGTCCTCTTTGCATATAAACATACCTTGAATATTACTGTATCAGGAGTGTACAGCTATGAAATCATGCATTTAAATAGGGAATTAAGACTAGTGAAATCTAATAGTGTATTATGCTGTTCATTCTCAGAATTTCCAAGGGACTTTTTTTCCCTTCAACTACCATTGCCTCTGTCAGAGATCTGTGACATTTTTCAGATTAGGAAAATATATACTTCTATTCAAAATATCAGACAGTGTCCCAGTAATTGATATTGTTGGGGAATAAAAATATTGCATGATGCTGATGACAGCAATTCTCACATCATCATATTTAATTGTCCTCAGCCATAATTAAACACATTAGTTTTATCCACAACAAGAAGAAAAAAATTTCTATAAATATTCTAATGATTACCTGTACATTGCTCCAAAAGGGTCTTTAGATGAAACACCAAAAGCTCTTTCATATTGGTTTCTTCCTTCTCTAAAATAGCAATTGAAAAAGCCTATGAGAGTGCTGATATATTTCTCAACCTCTCACAAGAATGACTGGTTCTTTTCAAGGTCAGGGTGGGATGGCACTTTGAGCAATCTGATCTACTGAGTGGCATCCATGTTAGGAAGGTTGGAACTAGATGATCTTCAGAGTCTCTTCCAGCCCAAACCATTCTAGGAGTCTGTGATTTATGGGAGCACACCTGAGGTAACGTTACAAGACTGATGCAATCATCACCATCACCTACACCATATCTGGTCATCAGTTGCATGGACAGGTGAGACTCCAGAGCATATTAAACTGCCCCTATAAACCTTAGCAACAGAAGGATCTTTAGCCACCACTACTCATTATTTACTTTGTTGATGCCACGTCCAGTAATATCCACTGTAATGATAAATTGCTTTACTGAAGGTGACACATAAAGAAATATGATTTCTAGATCTTCTCTACAATGACAGGGAAAAGGAAAATAAGAACATACACAAATAGAAAACAAGGAGGGAAAAAAAGCATACATATTGGCCATATTAACAGCTGAATTATCTGTTGCTTTTAATTTCTGAGAACCCACCAGCACCTTTATTGAGCTCTTCTCCAGAAACACACCACTGAGAGCAGTGACACAGATGCTGCAAAGCACCAGACAGCACATAGCATTCCTCCTTACCTCACAGCATCAGCCAGGTACTGCCAGCACAAGTAGACTGTGTTGGAATAATACATCATAATATGATACTGAGACTTTGGACTTGATTTTGTAAGGTAGACATTGGAAATTTCTGTGTTTCTGTAGAGGGCTAAAGGGTAAAATAAATATATTTACTAACATATATATCACCTTGCCAAGTCTGTTGTACAGCTTGCTGTTTATCACCAGAAGATGTCTATACAGCCAAAGACACAGCCACATTACTTCTACAACCAAAGCCTTCCACTGCAATGAGCAGTGAGTGAGAGCTGCTGAAATCTGTGCTACCCCATTCAATCTAGGTAAACACCATCTCCCTAAAAGTACCTCCAGCCCCAAATATTTCTTTCAAGGAGAGAAAAACAATGCCTTTTAAAAAGTGTTATCATTTACATATAGGCTTCTGCTCTCAGAGGAAGCTTTTGGTGTACTCTATTTAAGTGAGAATTCTTTGTAGACAAATCTTTTTTCTGATCAACAAGGTCAGCGGGGGGGGGGGGGGGAAGTCCCCAAAACAGCAGGCCAGCCACACCTACCCTCCCTCAGTTCACTAGGACTGGATCTTCTGCAAACAGAATGTCTAAAGGACTCCCAGAAATCTCCCACTCCCTCCAATGCATCTGCAGTGGCATCACTCACCCACAGGACTTGCATACCAAAGGAATATAAAAGAAGATCCTGCTTTCTCCAAACTCCTCGAGCAAGAACTATAATCCCTAAAGCAGAGCATGCCAACACAAGGCAGAACAGGGGACACAACTTGTGAGACTCTAGGTGGTCCTGACCAGCTGTCTGATGGCTAGAGATCCTTTCTGTCCAAGTGGATTCCATAATTCTGACATAAGGAAAAACTTTTATCACCTCTCAGTTCTGATCACAACCTAAGAAAATAGTTCACATAATGTTAAAACCCTAAGAAAAACAAGACCTGTTTTAAATCATGCTGTTACCATCCACCCCGGCATTTTGTTTTAAGTTTAAAATCCTGCCCATACCCCAAAGATTTCTTGAGACAAGCTCCACAGAGCTTGTGGAGCTATCCTAAATATCTTCTTCAAAGTCACATGAGGCTCTTGTACAAAGACATTTAGGGATATTGAGCCCTGCACCTGTGTTTCATTTTATACTTGTGATCATGCTGACATTTGCCTCCTCTTTCCTAAGAGTGATTCTCTCCTTCTTCCAGCTACATTAACTGACTTAGCATTTGGTATCAGCTTTTACCTCACTTTCAAAACCATCAGAGGTTTAAATCTTTCAATTTATTCCTATTCCTCTGCCTTTATTACCTCCTTCTTGTGTCATCTCTACTGCCAAGAGCTTCAATCCCACACAGGCATCCAGCAATCTTTTCATCCCCATGGTGCTGGCACCCACACCTGCAGCAATGGCATCTGAAGACAGAGGCTTTCCTGACTCCAGAAGAAGATCAAACACCCCCAGCTCACAGGCAGTGAACATAACCTGGGAGTAGGGAAAGATGGGAGTGAGGGATGAGGTGAAATCACAAAGCCTACTGCATTTCACAAGTTGTTTAAATAAGGAAAATATAAATTTAATAATATTTATTTCAGATAAACTTGTATTTCACATAAACAAGTCCAATTATTAAATTGTCATTTATCTGAGAACCAATATAACATACTATGAATGTAATGCACTCATTAGTCGTACTTTTTTTCCTTTTCCAGTGAAGCCAACCAGTGCTTTTTGGCTTCCAAAAGTCCACATTTAGAGACCAGATTTTGTGTGTAAATGTCCCTGCCTCTTCCTTAGTTTAGAAACACATTCTCACAATCTCCTAGAAAGAACAAAGGCAAGACTAGGTGGGGGTGCTTGTTGTCTGTTTATGTTTCTCTTCTTTAACTAAGGATCTAACACATGCTTCAGTGAACCCTGGAGACTCTCTTATGGCTTGCAATAGGGGGAATATCCCATTCTATGGACCTTGTTTTCAGGGACTGATGTGAAGGACTACAGTGATCTTCCAGAAGCAGGGAGGTTCCTCTCATCCAGAAGAACTGCTTCATTTAACTGAACAAAATTGCCCAGTCTTTCCATAGAGTTGTGCAACTTCTCCAGCAACATTGGTCAACCTTCAGACAGACATAGCTAATCATACAAGAACCAACCATCTTTCTTTAGGTATGCACAGTCAACCTTACAAGTATCAGCCTATTACTGTGGTCACATAAACACTCCTGAAACAGTAACAAAGACATCAGTTTAATTGACTGCCTATATCTACAGTCATTTGAGCTACAATGAGACCTGTACAATGAAGCTCCTTTTACGCTGAGTAAACAGGGCTTAACCAAAGTTGAAGCTGTTTCTCAAAAACTAGTAGTACTAACAGTGCTAAATTGGAAAGCATTGGGCACTTCTTTTTCAAACAAAGTGATTTTTCGTTACCTTTTTTCCTCTCTTTATTGTCAGCTCCGCCTTTCAGGAGCTTAAGGTGCAGCAGTTTTTGCACAACCCAAAGAGCATACCTTCTGTTACCATGTTGGCCAGAGGTACAGCAGGGGACAATAGGAAAGTTAAGTAGTAAATTAGGAAAAAATCATCCACTGCACTGGATATTATAATATTATGCCCACCTGCTTAAGCAAATAACATCAGCAAACAATAAGAAGAGTGGAATTACTAGTTTTGCCTTTGCACCTTAAAAATATGTCTGGGAAACCAGTTATTATAGCAGTGCTTTCACCTCTTCCAAAGACTTACATTTGGGACCTAAAGAGAAATCCCTGAATATTTCTTTCTGCATACTCTAAGAGTTATATTTCTTACCTTTGAGATTAAAAATCCATTGCTGTATTGCACAATGATTTGAGGATAGTCAGGGTCTTCTGGGGAACCCATCTTCCTTCTGGACTGAGACACAGATTTCCTGGCTCTCTTCATTTAAATAAGCTTCTTTTCACCAAACACAAAGCACACCAGCTGATCCACATAATCTTATTGCTTCTGAGAAACACACTGGTTACAAAACGTGTTAGCTGAATTATTTGGCTTTGATGGGTCTTTCTACCTGGTTCAACTGTTTCTTTGGATCTTCCATCATCAAGTATTAGGCTAAAGGAGCAGTGTGGATTAAAGCTTGTATTGTCAGTTCATCAGTCAGCAACATGCTGGTACCTCAGAAGCACTTGAAAGCTTGTAACAAGCAAAACAGGAATCAGTACAGAATTATACCAAGAACCTGAACTCAGTGCTGTGCACCAACATTCATAAACCAAAGCAAAATCTTACTTGGGACTTGAAACTTGCTGTGGGCACAGTCCAGGGGACCCTGGGCTGGCAGTGGGGTACACCTCATCCCTAAGTGCAGAAGCAGCAAGTCCAAAGAGAAGCTGTAAGAATCTGTTGCTGTTTTCTTACTGTGATTAGTTTGCTCTGATGACGATCACTCAGATGAAGCATTTGAGGAATTAAATCTACATTTTTTACTTTTCTGTATTTTGCAGATCCTCCCACTCACCCTGATACCAGCTTAGAAAGGAATACCTGCAGCACCTCAGCAGGGGTGTCCTACTTGTACTTTGCCATGTTTTGGCAGAGCAGGGTGGTGAGGGATGACAGTACATTTTTACATTTTCCAGCTGATTACTACATTTTTTCTCCCCTTCTCTGCAAAACAAATCATGGGCAGCAGAAAGGCCTTGGAAAGGAACAATGAAATTTTAACTTCACACAGGACATCCCCCATAGGTTTTCATCAGAAAATTAAACCCCTGGATTACTTCCCTGAAATCTCGCTGCCCTGCTGTTCATTTCTCTGTCTCTTGCCCATCTCACCCCAGGGTAGATGTGGCAACATTCAGGTGAGGAAAGAACCTTTCCATCAAGGAAAATACTCAGATTTGATATCACATATTTAGCGACCTCCTCAGGAAACAATGTTAAATTAAACCTTATTTAGGTAGTACACTGAAGTCAAAATGTTACAAACCAGCATTTTTTCAGCAGCAGCTTTCTCCATGCATCAGATTTCACTGTATAATCTTTCTCTGAATCTGTACTTTCTAACTAAATTGCACATAATCACACATCACCAGCCTAAGATAACTATTGTTAGCCAAAAAAAATTAGGAAGTTGCATGAAAATAAAAAAAAAAAAAAATTCTCTTCTAAAGGCCAATTCTACCTGCTTCTGAGAAACTGGTGCAATTTCATGCAAGCTTAAGGATTTCCCACCCCTGGGAACACAACAGCTATCAGCCCCAGGCCATAAATGCACTTCACTTAAGGCAAAGTTATATGATACATGAGTCTCCACTAATAAAATGACCACACAGTTGATTAAATACACTTGAAGTTCTTTTTCAATTATGACTAAATCTGTGTGTTGAGGATACCAGTTATAATCATCTAATGGGATTACCACTAGTAGTTAGATGTAGGGGAGGAGGCTTGCAGATAACCCACACCAGATTGAAAAAAGCCACATGCAGTAGCTGTTTCCAAGTAAATTGCTAGTGAGGCTTAGAGTTTAAGCTCCTTTTAAGCTAGAAATGCATTCATGAAGATGAAATTGCAATGGCTTGCTTTCTCTGAAAACCCTATCAAGATTTCTCTCATAGGACTTAGACCACATGCAGGCTAAAGCCCTTATTTTACCACCACAGTTCTATTTCAGTGATGCATTTTTCTTTGTCTAAATGACTCACTACAGTCAAATGCTACACAAAAAACAATTATGTAATTTTTGCATAACATTTGAAAGTAAGAAATTATCTATGAACAAAGGAGGTTTAGTAAAATGAATGTCTGCCAGTGAGAAATGGCAGATGACACTATCTTCTCACACAAAACCTCCCTTGTAAGCAAAAACTACAAATCCTCGGGATGTGACTACGATGAGTTTCAATAGTGCCAGTAGGGAAACAACTGTGCCTTGCTATCATGAGTCTCTCTAAGTATACCCAGCTTATAACACATGCCCTGGAAGGGTCCTAGGGTAATAGTTTGCGGCCTGTTTTCTAGCAATCCTAAAAAACCTACAAGATACTAAGTACCATACTTTTTCTTTGAAGTAGAATATCAAGTTTTAAATGCTCCTTTCCTTCTTTCTAGCTTCTAATCTCATATTTTACAATAGATGCATTTTCCTAGTAACATGACTATTATTTCCATCACTTTTGACACCCACCAATTTTATTTTTTTCCTGTTTTCATCACATATGCTAACAGCAAACATTTGGAGTGGACACAAAAACCTGTATATCCAGCCCATTTTCTAAGCAAACCCTCCCTTCTCTTTAGATTCACTTGCAGGAGAAACTCTGAGAACATCTTTTAAAGTGTATCTCAGGCAATCCAGAGTTGTTCTTCGTTTAACTTGTGGACTGCAAATAATCTCTCAACATATAATTCAACTAAATAATCATAGAGATTTCTATGAGAGGAAAGTCCCAGCAGATAAGAGTGATAGTCTTCCTGAGGACATCCAGCTACATCAGCTAAAAGTGATAAATGCAGAAACTTCAGAGAGAGAGAGAGAGAGAGAGACAGATGCAAACAGAAAACCAAGATGGATAGCAGCTGAGGCAGGCTCTGATTTCAGAATTTGCTTGTGTTCTGTCAAACATCACAAAGGAAAACCATGGATACACAACTGCCTTAAACAGGGATTTTAGAGGCTTGGCTTTGTTGGAGATGGCAGGAACGCCTTCCTGCCCAGGGGAGGTGGTGCATAAATTCTTCATTTTGCCTTGCTTGTGCATGCAGCTTTGGCTTTACCTTTATATTGTGTTTATCTCAATCCATGAGTTTTCTCACTTTTACCCTCACAATTCTCTATCCCATCCCACCAGGAGTGTGTGAACACCTGCATGGAGTTTAGTTGCCAGCTGCAATAAATCATAGCAGCAAGACGTGCAATGAACAGAAAAGATTTTTCCAGCCCTTCCTTTTTACAGGGAAGGTAGAAAGTAAAAGACACCACTAGGCAATTCCTCAGTGCGTTCATGAACATATGTCCAGGATCACATGCAGAACTGCAGGGAAAATCTAATCTGAAGGTGATCAATCCTTATTCAGACACTTGGCTGGCAGTGCCTGGGAGTGACACCCCTTCATATCATCCTACAAATAGTCCAATATCACAGACAGCACACCTGAACATCCAATGCAGAGCAGCTAGAACTCACCTGGCAAGTGCTATAGTCCACATGCAGCTAGATTAGTTATCAATTAGAGAGCAATTCTAATCAGACTTAGCTCTTCAAAAATTTCATAACATATGCTATGGCAAAGCATTAACCTGAGCTAACTTATGAATTCTCTTTTTTTGTCAGGCAGCAGGAGATTCAGGTGAAGCATGTGAGGGGGTACCAGATCAAATTGATTTTCTGTGCTGCCACTAAAGAAGAAAGGGTGGTGGTGTACATCACTTCAAACAAGCCTCAAGAGCCCAGTATTAGATTAATATAGGACACTTAATTAATTCTGCACATCCATTTCTGAAGCATCAACCCACTAATGAAGCATCATCAGCAACCAGATTGCTGCTTTATACAAACACTAGAGACAACTGCAAATTTACTGTGAAGCAGCCAAAGATACCTCCCGCAAATAATATGTTTATTAGACTTGGGAAAGGCCAATCAAAGAATGCAATGTAAGCTTACTGAAATGGGTGTTGTATTCAGAAGAACCAAGCCTCAGAAGCAGGATACCAGATCAAGACACAGGCGATGCATAATAAACACAAATTTGATGTGGCCAATTCTGTCCACACATTTATAAATTAAGATATTTGCCAAACTAGTTGGTTTAATTGCTGTCTTATATAGAATGTAACAACATCTCTAGCTCTGCTATCAAACATGAGCAGCCACAATAGTCTGTTATATGATCCTATACAAGAACTGCCCTAAAGCTGACATTGGTGCAAAATCCAGGAAGTCCTGATCACCAATCGACTCTCACTAGTTTGTCTTTATAGCCTTGTGGCACTGATAGAATCTTGCATTCACAATATTGGGAGTGACTGCAAAAATTCCTCTTTTCTCTGTCAGCTTTAAAGATGATGCTTCCAGGTAACATAACATATTTTTATACACATATCTAGTTATGCCTATGTCTTCATTTTAGGACACTGAATAGATTACTCTACAAAGGTAGAGACAATTAGAAACAGGATTTGGATATGGTTACAGCTTTGGTAATAATTTTTACTAATATAAATTACTGCTGGCAATTTGACTCATACATTATCAAAATTCATTTACCACAGTGGGCAGTAATCAGATGGAAAATATCACGCTGACGTTGAAGGGCTTTGGCCTTTCTGTTGTAGGAAAGCTGTCATTTGACTAAGCTGCTTCCCAAGCCACCTAGTGCAGGCTGAGGCCAGGAGATAAAAAGAAAATTGCAGGTCAAAAGGCTGGTATGTGCAGAGGCTCATCAGCCTTCAGACAGATACAAGAGGAGACATTCCTTAAGGATAAAACAGGACTGTGCAGTAACGCTGCCCATAGCAACAGGAACTTAGATTTCTTACCCCTTTGAGACTCCTGTTCTTCTTTGCTTCACAAGGGCTGCAGAAAAACCACTCCTAGTTGCCACTGCCAACAGCTGTGACAAGGCAGCAGCACATGCAGAGAGCACATGCACCAGTTCCTGCCCAGAAAATGGAGCTCAAGAGCATTGGCCCACCAACTTCCTACCCTCTTCAGCTCAGACCTTGCTGAAGGCAGTCTGTGATTTGCAGGGTTCACACCTCCAACAGGAAGAGGTCACAAGCTCCCTTGTATCACTAGATGATTAGTACGCATCCTCAAGAGCAAAGATCCTTGATCCTGTCCTTCTGGCAAGGACATAAAGGAGACATCGTGGTGTCAGTTGTGAAATCTCTCCTGGAGCCGAGTGCAACAACTGAGGTGCATTCTCACAACTGAGAAAACTCTCCTCCTGTCTCACCATGTGAGTTAAGAATGATCAATGACAGCAGAACACTGGAATAAACACTGGGCATTTCTTGGGACTCAGTACATGAAATAGGGCTCAGAGGTCTCTTTCCCCGCTGCCTAGACTTCCCAGCAGGCAAGAACACAGGGCTACAGCATGAAGTTGCCCAATCCATGGTT